CGTGTGTGTGTGGTGATGGTGTGCGTGTGTGTGTGGTGATGGCATGTGTGTGTGTGGTGATGGCGTGTGTGTGTGTGAATGTGTGGTGATGCATGTGTGTGTGAGTGTGTGTGGTGATTGTGTGTGTGTGTGTGGTGGTGGCGTGTGTGTGGCTGGGTGTGCGGAGGCAGTGCGGCGGTGGCTGGTGCGCACGCGTGTGTCCGCTGTCCCCGTTGGCGCGCTGCCTGTGCTGTGGAGGGTATGGAGGGGTGCTCCTGTGATCTTCCAGAAGGCAGTGGGGCGCTTGCCCGGGACTCTGAACCCCCCACAGAGAGAGGGCCGGGGAGGGGGAGCAGTGGTGGGCTGGGCTCCTGGGGGCCCTGGCAGCTGGGACTTCACTCTCCTGGGCGGTAGCTGGGGCTTTATTAAGGCTTGGAAGCCACCAGAGCCCGCCCCTCTCTGCTGGCCTTTTGGGGGATACCTGGGCTCTTCAGCTTTCCTTGGATTTATGATCTCTTCGTTTTGAATCCCTGTCCTCTAGCACCAACCCCACTCCCTATCCTACTGCCCAGAGCAGACAGCAGAATATTTCTGTTTCCTCTGGAAAAATCCTGGGAGGTCTGTTTATGGCTGCAGCTGAAGCGGCTCGCACATCTGTGCCGGGTAGCTGGGACAGCTGGAAACCCAGGAACTGGAGTTTTCTGGAATTTGGAGCACACTGGTGCTTCCCTATCGGTGCACGACTGTCACATCGCACACAGTGGGCTCTTCCTAGAGACGGCCCTTTGCTGCTCCCGGTGTGCACGCACCCACATATGCAGATCCACTCTTGGAGCCAACATTGCGGTTGACATACAGAGGCAGGCCCGGGACGCACAAGCGCACAGGTGTGCCAGCACACTGGGAGAACACTCTCAAGCAGGGCTCCTCAGGAGAGGCCCACTTACACACACAGGGCTGGCACCCTGGGGCCTGACACGCACGTGTGACGCCTCTACCCGCAGAGACGCAGGACAACAGATGCTGATTCAGCACACCCACACACGGACGCGCAGTGCACGCAGAAGGTGTGATTCACTTTCAGCCTCCTACAGAAACCCACCCTGAGCCAGGCTCAGCGGCAGGCAACACCTGCCCTTTCAGCTAACAGGCTAGGCCTGCCCTCCCCTGGAAGAGCCAGGTACTTTCTCGAGCCTGGGAATGCCCCGGTCCTTCCCCATCCTCTAGCTCTTTCCCCGATAGAAGCTGCCCCTCAC